GCTCCGAAATGTCAACTTTCCTGCTCCTCTGATGCTGCCTGGCCTGCAGTGTTCCTCCAGCTCCACGCTGTGTTATATCTGAACATACAATGGAGTTCATTATAAGTTCAAGACCAATCCAAGCTGTCCAAAAATACCTGTTGGAGAAAAAGGTCACAACATTAATGCACCACCAAATGACAGCAGGAAATAAAAAAAACCATTATAACTGTGGCCAACAACATCTGCACACATCGGGTGCAGCTACCAGTATTGGTATATTAGCCAGGAACATGAAAGGAAAGCACACTCTGTGTGAAATGCAATCTGTTGCACTCTCCCATAAGACTGTCCTGCATTCCAATATGTAAGTCATGCATTGCAAAAGCACAAAACACTCATAAATGCAAGAAATAGGATTTTGAAGATGCAAAGGCTAAAACAGGACACGACCGAAAAAAAAAGCACATGCAGCATGCTGGCAACCACAACAAGGACAGTGCCAGAGTCCTGCATAAGCACAAGCATATACACTACTTTTGCATCAGGACAGCCCAAGGTGAAGATTCAGAGTAAATCCTGTTATTAACATCATATGTCCAAGGAAAATTGGTAAACACATGCTCAAGTTCAAAGTCAACACAGGAGCAGGTGCAAACATCCTACCAGTTAGAACTCTAAAGGGTCTGTACTTGGATCACTGGAAATCTATGATACAAAATAAAATAGCAAAACTGACTGCAAACAATAGGTCACCCATCCCTCGCATTGGTACATTGACAATAAAATGTAGCTAAGGCAGTTTTGCATGGAGCCACAAGCATTTTACCTGTTGAAATGAATGGACAGCAGTAACAGGACTACCTGTAACTACCAATAACAGGTAATGGCCTAGTGGTATTATCGCTATACTGTTAATCCAGAGACCCCGATAACATTCTGGGGATCTGGGGTTTGAATCCCACCATGGCAGATGGTGGAATTTGAATTCAATAAAAATATCTGGAATTAAGAATCTAATGATGACCACAAATCCATTGTCCATTGCCAATTGTCGAGGAAAAACCCATCTGGTTCACTAATGTCCTTTAGGGAGGGTAAACTGCCATCCTTACCTGGTCTGGCCTACATGTGACTTCAGACCCACAAAAATGTGGTTGACTCTCAGCTGCCCCTCTATGCAATTAGGGATGGGCAATATGTGCTGCTTAGCCAGTGACGCCCTCATCCCATTAACGAATGAAGAAAAAACGTCCAATGTGTACAGCATTCAACAATGTGACCAATCATGAAATCATCAGTATACCAATTCCTGTAGAACAGGCCAAGAATACTGACAGTGAATTGATCCTGGATTTACAAAACAAAGAACTGTGGATGCTGAAGAACTGAAACAATCAAAAACAGAATTGTTTGAGAAAATCAGCAGTGTGGCAGCACCCATGGAGATAAAAACAGACTTAATGTTTCACAACTGCTCTGAAGAAAGAGTTACAGGACTCAAAACGATAACTGTTTTCTCTCCAAAGATGCTACCAGACCTGCTGAGTTTCTCCAGCAATTTCTGTTTCAGTTTCTTACAAAAATTATACCTAGATGGTTTCAATGCCATAGGAAACTTCAAAACTGATGCTTTATTACACACCTCAGAAGATGCAATTCAGTCATTTGACCCTCAGAGAACATGCAGTGTTCACAAACAAGAGATGCTTAAGAGTGAGCTGGGCAATAAGGAAGTTAATGATATTATTTGATGTGTACATCAGTACATGGACTGGTGCACTTTGTTACATTCTCTCTAAAGAAAAATGGCATCAGGGTATGTTTGGACCCTAGATATCTAAATCTTTCTCTAAAGATGTGTCCACACAAATATTCCAACATTAAAGAATTGAATCCCAAATTCGCAATAGCAAATTTTTTTTACAACCTGAATACCAAGTATGCATGTTTGTTGATTCACTTCAGAATTAGTTTCAGAGCACCATTTGGAAAATATGGCTTTTGGAGAGTACTTTCCAACTGGGTGTCAGTCAGGATCGGGTCCAGAAGCACCTGGATAGAATTACAGAAGGTATTCCTAGATGTGTATTTATTGCTGATGATTTTGACCATCACTTTAATGTCAATGAAGTGCACAACTAATATCTACACTCACTGATGGCTCAGTTCATTACATCTTCAACAGGACAGTGTCAGCTGAGTGTAGGTTAGATCAACAATCCAACATATGGGATACATCTCAACCCAGAAAATGTCAAGATCAATGACCCATATCTGCTATGTACATTATATGGATTTTCAAGATTACCTTTCCATTTATTGAGGGAGAGGAGACCAAACAACCTGAGGGGCACCATACCTCAAGTGAGAGGGGAAGTTGAGAAGCAGAGCCCTTCATCATTACCTCAGCCAGTGCAAGAACTGAACCTATACTGTTGGTGTCACAGGGCAGCACAAGCCAACTCCCCAGCCAACTGAGCTAACATATCCCCTATGGCCAGTCAACTTAAATTGGTGTACTCTTATGTAATAAAACTTCACACGGTGTTTCAAACAACCAGAATCCGACAATATTGACACTGAAGCAAAGACAAACATTTGAGGTGAAGATCAGGCATGGTATTGACAATGGAGCAGACTCATGGGGCCACAAATGACCAAAAGCTTAGTCGAAATATTAAGCTTTAAAGAATATCTTAAAGGAGGAGATCGAGGGCAAGAGGAATTCCCGACCTCGGGGTTAGAAAGTTTGCAATCACTGCGGGAAGGTTGTTAGAGATACATAGCATTGGAGACAGTTGCAGAGTTCTTGGAGAGTTGTAGATGCTGCAGGATTGGGAGGGATAATCTCATGGAGGGGTCTGAGGACAAGGATGGAAATTGGCAAAGTATTCACTGATGGGGCTAGTGTGGGTCAGTGAGCAAGGGAGGGAGGGAAGAAGGCAGTTCCCGGTGTCAGTTCGGACTTGCAGAGTTGCATTACCAGTCAGTGACCCTGGGCAACACCTTTAACGATTCAATGTATTTTTTTTAAAAAAAAACAAAAAGAAGGTGCGGCCTCTTGCTCAATATAATGACAGATACGTGGCAATAAGCCCAAACCAGAATTATCACCTAGCCGCTGGCAGGAGCTGGGACAGGCATGTTAGTTACTGTACCTGTCTGTAGGAGGAAGGAGGAAGCATTCACCGCAAGTGTGTGTGTTTTTTAAAAAATATTTAACTCGACTCTCTGCTTCATTCGCTGAAGTGCTGTCAGACAACTCACTGACGAAAGCCGCCGCCACTCTCGAAACAAACATCTATTTTACATGTGTTTATGAGGAGGACAGTGCGGGAATGAAAGCATGAAACAATCACGATTTCCCAAGTTCTTCCAGAAACTTTCCCTCGCCTTCTCCAGAAGAAAATACCAACTACTCCAGGACAGTGATTTGCACGGCAAGGTGAGTGAGTGCCTGCTTATTATGGGATGCTTTACCCTTACCCTGGGGCTCCGGGCTCAATGGCAGTTTCAGACTTATGCCACTGACCTAGTCATTTCAGCAATCAAAGCTACATTGTAAAGCCAATATCTTCAAACAAACTTCTCGGTGTTCTTTTTGCATTCTTATTGCTGGATAAAGCACTGCCTTTTCTCAATATTCGTGGCTGCTTGTTCAAATGGAGACATTTTAAAAACTTGCTGGGTTGAGTGGTGAGCGAGTACAAGGAGCCTAATTCTTAGCCATTTCAGCGAACCAGCATGGGCACGTTGGGCCGAATGGAGTCCTCTGTATGCGATTTGCAAGAGAGAGAGAAAAAAAAATTGGCAGCTGCTTTTCCAGCTCGTGACCTGCGCTTTTGTTTTAGTTGATCCAACCGAGGTATTGAAAAAACGATCTTTTGAAAATAAGTTTAAAAGTTGGTGATCTCTGACCTTTTCCGTTCTTGTTTCAAAAATAGGCTATGCTGTGAGTTTTATTTTTGGTTCTCAATGGACCTATGTATTTCTAAACCACTTCAGCATTGCAGATTTATTGTTTGCAACTTTTACAATAACTAGCACCAAATGCTTCTACTGTTGTTAAACCTGTACACTACAATCCCTGGTCCAATACATAGACACAGCATTTCAACTGGATTTACAATACGGTTGAAGGAACTATTGAGCCAAATGGATATATTTTGTTTTTATCTGGTTTGTGGTGGACAATGAAAGGTTTACTCTTGGGTCTGTCTGTGATGTATAATGGCCAAAGGAGTTTCAAATAGCTTCCAGCCCAATGAAGAGTTAAGTTTAAAGTCTTAATGTAGGTTGCCCTGAAGCTTTTTTAACATTTGAAATATTACTGAAATGATATGGGCTCTTTTCCACTCTTTTTACTTAATATGCAAATCAAATCAGTCAGCTACCACAGGGAAAGCTGTATTCTCTATGCTCAGAAATTTGCACAACATGCCTGAGTTATAGTTTATCTAGCACTTACTTTCTTCTTATGTTTATGCCCATAATTATAATTGTAATATTCCAAAACATGTTGACAGGCCAACCTGAGAACTGCTGAATAGTAATCATTAAGAGGCAAAAATAAAGCAAGCAAAATGGTTTGATCAGTACAATGCATATAACAATAGGAAACTCAATTTCTCACCCGTATTTTAAATGCATGTATGTATGTAAGTTCCCATTCTCTCTGTTGGCTCTCTGCATTAAGTTTCACTGGTCAACTATTCCTACAGGGTGATAAGCCAGCAGAAGCACTTGCTCGGTCAGTCTGGTTACATGTCTCTTTGCCCAATTTTTAGATTGAGTTAGTACGCGAGGAACGTGTTAAATGCAAAACTCTGCACACTCACATCACTCAAAGATGTTAACAAAATCTCGTGAGGAATGCTAGCAGAATAGTAATTCAATAACAATGAACCAATGATCCTAAACAGGAATCTAAGAGTTAAGACTCAGGTGCATGAAAATGGCTTTGCAAATTGAAATCAACATTATTTGTGCCTCCCTTTGAAAGAAACATATTTAAATTCTGCTCTTGCCACTTAGAGCAATTTCCTCTACTCCATAACTCATTGTGAATTGGATTGGACCTGGCTGGAGAAAACACTTTTCTTTCCTTTTTTCTTTATTTTACAATTTTTGTAAATTCCCATGCTGACTTTCAGAAGGATAAATGTATTTGTTGCCTTCCAGAATTACTTATAACAGCCGAGTGATTTAGCTGCCTCTGAAGACTCTGTATCACATTAGAACTATTTGAACAATTGGCTGAAGAGTGAAGTTTGATGTGTGGCAGTTATGGGAATTTGGCAAGGCAGTAGTATGAATTCTCTTTAAATAAGTAACTACTTTATTAATATACACCCACTTCATGAATTGCTAGATTACACTTTACCAGGAAACATTGTGTAGTTAAATTTATGCAGAGTCGAACAATAGTAAGAGGAATTATGAAAGGTGGTAACATAATGTGATGATCTCCATTTAGAAAATTATTCTATTGGAATGCTTTTCTTTCTGTGATCCTTTAATTCACTTCCAATGAACTAATCCATTTTTTAAAAAATGCAATTACACAATGTCTTTCATAATCAGATGACATCTCAATAATTTTATTTGATATCTATGCTCTCATTGCTCTGCTGAAGAATATTTACAGAGTCTGCTGAGGTAGAGAAAAAAAAAACCTTATTTAAGAATCTTTAGTTCATTATCATATCTTACAGTCCAATTTAACTCCATATACTACATCCCCCTCCCCCACCGAGTCTCTGACCTCACATTCTTTTCATTACAGGGTCCACCACTGTGGTGGATTCCATATTTATCTGAATTGTCCTCAGCTCTTTGGAGGAGTCTGGGAATTCAAGTCCTCTGTGTGACCTCTCTAACTCTGCTGGGCAGAAAAAGAATTGACAGATGAGTCTGATTTAGTGGTCAGGCTGTCATCTGCGTCTCTTGATGAATGCAACATATCTCGTCTGTTTAATTGTGTACAAGATTGCTTCTGTGTCGAAATTGGTCCATGTCTCTTCAGTTGCATTGTACCATTTTTGGTTTGAATGAGACAGGACCATGGTGACTGTTCCACCACATTTTTCACAAATGGGTTTGATCTCACATCCAGATTGACTCTTCTTATTGAAGGGTCAATGGACGCAAAATGTTAACTCTGCTTTCTCTCCGCAGATGCTGCCAGACCTACATCTCTGCAATTTCTGTTTTTGTTACTGATTTCCAGCATCTGCATTTCTTTGGTTTTTTGTTTAGTATCTTACTCCCTCACTTTTTTTCAAGTCATCATCTCGTACACACATTATGAGCCTATGTGAGAGGGAAGGAACTTGAGCTTGTGCTTCTTCCCATGAGGGGGTTCATTTGGACCTGCACAATTTTGGAATGAAGTTGAATGATTACTCAGAAGTGCAAGTTAAATGCCATCCTTCTTCAGCTTCCTATTGTCTTGAGGGTATTTTGGTGAGCCCATGGGTAAATTGAGTTGCGTGGCCTGGCATTCCATGTGTTTCAAACATCTCCTGCAGCAGTCTAATCATTATTTCAGACATTTGCCTCTATCCATCGACAGAAATGATCTACTACTATGATAACATCTTACCTCTGTTCATAGAGGTCCACCCCAAGACTTTCCCATGGCCCTGATATAAAGGAAGGTGACATTAATGGTCCACTTGACTCCAGACAATGAAACGCACAAGTAATACAGCTTGCTATCATGTCCTCTGATGATTTTGAGATATCTAGCCACCAAACAGAATATTTCACTTTGGTTCAACATTTTGTCATATTCAGATGTCCTTGGTGCAGTAGTTGAGATATATCAAATCTCTAAACTCTCACAATGACCAATCTCTCATCATAAATGAGTATACTTGATCACTGAGTCTGAGACGAGGGTTATGTCACATGTATCCTGACCATCTCTTAGCACAGCATCGGCTATCTTATGGGCATTCTTGGTCTGATTTCCTTCAGCCACTGAGTTGCAGAGAGGCTGATTCAATATAAAGATTTCCACCTCTTTAATGCATTGAACATCTTCATGTTCAATCCTTGCCATCGAGATATGAGACAAAGCTTTACATGGAGTCTTCTGTTTTTTGGCACATTCTAGCATCATCCTTGGGCTCATTGTTGTACTCATGAAGGCATTTTTGCTTTAGAATTTAAGAGTGTCACTAAGATGCCACTAATGTGGTCTGCACTTATTTTTAAATGAAAATCAAGAATAATACTTGCCACTTTTTCACAAGTCCAAGTGGCTATTAACCCTTCTTTCTCTATCACTGTCTATCTCTGGTCAGTTCCATTTAGTGAATGTAATATGTAGTACACTGGATCTACACTTACATGAAAAATTACAGCTCCCAGTCAAACAGAAGATTCATTTGTGATAATGATAGTGGATGGCTATGGGTCTTAGTGAGCTGAAAAAGCAGGTGATAGCAACAATAATTTGATGTTCTCAAAAGATGTATGTTGTTCTGCCTGTCAGCGCTATGCATTGTCTTCGTTGTAACAACCGACACAGTAGCTCATTGACAATAGGAAGTTGGGAATAAACTTTCTGACTTTATAATACCTCTGCATATCTGGAGCTTAGTCATATTTTGAGAGCTGTAAGCTCCTTAATTGATCTTATCCTCTGTGGATCAACTCTGACATGGGATGTGTCCACAATATGCCTATTGATTGTGACATTCTGCTCTGAGAATTCGGACTTGTATTTGAGTCTAAGTCCTGTTAGGTGTTGCACAGCTCACACTGAAGTGTCATGTTCTGTTTTTGTGTATTCATGGATCGGGATGTCATCTATGTGACATCTAACTCCATCCTTCTACAATACTTGCCGTTGTCCACTCAAAGATTTCTGTTACTGATGTGATGCTGAAGAGTAGTCTGTTGAAACAAGACCTTGCAATCAGTGTAACGAAGGCTGTGAGAAACTTAGTCTCTTCCTCAGTGGGTAGTTGCAACAAGATCTGGACAACACCCAGGCTTGGACTGACAAGTGAAAAGTAAGATCTGTACCACATAAATGCCAGGCAATGGCTATCTCCAATTCAAGAAACTATCTAACCACCAGCCCTTGACATTCTATGGAGTTACTATCACTGAATCCCCCACTATCAATATCTTTGGGGTTACCATTGACCAGAAGCTCAACTGGACTTGCCACATGAATGGAGTGACTACAAGAGCATGTCAGAGGCTAGGACTAGTAACTCACCACCTGACTCTCCAAAGCCTCTCCATCATCTACAAGGCACAAGTAAGGTGTCTGATGAAATACTGCCCAGTTGCCTGGATGGGTGCAGCTCCAATAAAACTCAGGTAGGTTGGCACCATCCAGGACAAAACAGCCTGCTTAATTGGCACCAAATCCACAAACATACATGCCTTCCACCACCAACGTTCCATAACAGCAGCGTGTACTAT